AACTCGAGTCATTTTGCTCCAGCGTTTTTGAGTCCTTTGAACTTTAGACGTTCAGGAGATCCACATGAAACTTTCAGCACCAAAAGTAAAGAACACTTTGCAGGTAATGAGGAGACGTGATATAATGCAGGGAGGAGGACACCTGGTGCAGCTTTGATGAGTTTGTTCCCACCGCAGGCTCAGGAGCACAGACGCTGATACCAAACTGCAGCGAGGCAGCCTCAGTGCAACAGTACACACACCAGCATGTACAAAAGCACACACACACACACACACACACACACACACACACACACACACACACACACACACACACACACACACCTGATGGATCAGAAACTGATTTTCAGCATCAAACACAGAAAGGATCGGAACGCCCGCTTCAACCACGGAAAGCACCGCGCAGCACGGATGCTTTGACAGATTACACCTTCAGTCCAGCAGCAAGAGCGCAGGACGCTGCATCCTGTCACACCGTGAAAGCAAGAAGATCTGCTCACATGATTCCCAGACGTGGAAAAGTTAGAGGCAACAGAAAGAAGCATCCATGCAGGATGAAACCCTTCATGTGGTTTTCTCATTTCTAAACAGGTTTCTGGAGGAAGGATTATTAATGGTCGTCTTTGTCTCCGCGCGTGTTGGCAGCTACCTGAGGTCAGAGTTCGGCCTCGCCTTTTCGGACTTTTTTCATTTTAATTATGTTTAAAGTTCAACAAACTGTAAGAGAGATAAATTCAGGATATTTGAGGACAGGACAGTCTGGAATAAGTGCTGTTTCAGTTCTGGGTGATGCTGACTCAGCCCCCAGCAGCCTGACATGTGTAACTTTCACTAACCAGCTGCAGGTTGCACTAATACTGTGATTTTCTCCTCTGCTCTCCACGCTGTGCTGTAACGTGCACGGATGACATCTTGCTTTGTCATTCGAGTGCCCGCTGGGATCAGTGCGTCTGCCTGTTTGTCTCTGGATGTTTCTCTGCTGCTCATTTTAAATGTTCCAGACTGACGAAAACAAAAAACTCCAACCACGAGTGAAAGTGAGGCTCTTCCTAAGTGCTGCAGCCCAGCTTTGAACTTCACTGCTCTTTGGCCGGCAGCCATCAGATAAGACTTATCAGGAGCCGTTGTTGATTCAACTCATGGAGCTTGACTCGGCTTTTAAGAACACGAGCAAAAAGCCCGCTGCGTGCTCGCCGATCTCCATCTCTGGGCCAAAACCTGCTGTCAGTTTTCCTCCACGCCTCACGCTGACATGAGCTTTTCCTCGTTTTCTCTCCTTTCACTCAGCAGCCAGCTTGATACAAACAGAGTAAAACCCTCTCCTGACCGAGAGGGAGTCAAGTAGCTTCAACGGGCTCCACTCAGGAGCTTCACAGATTCAGCGAACCTGCAGATTTAAAGGGCTCTTCCTCAAGTTTCCTTTAAATTAAACCAATTAATTTTGCAGAAACAAGTTATTTGTGCTCATTTTTAGGCCACTTAGATTTCTTCCTTCTGAAGTCAAGAGTCTTCACAGTTTAATCCCCCAACTAATCTCAATGTCAGCCTCTTTTAAAAATATGAAGGAGTGAAGGAAATGCATTAAAACACTGGAAACTAGAAGGACACCAAAGCCAGTGCACGTCTTCCTTCAGCCCTGCATCCGTCTCCACCAGCTTTTGTGTTGTTCTGGTCACCTCAGACTCGTGGCCCACAAAAGAAACCCGAACTTGATTTGATTTTTGGGGGATAGTTATTAAACTTTTTCTAGAAAAAAGTCCAAATAGTTTTTTGTCCCCTGATTCTCTCTGTCCCCCTGAAAACTTTGGACAAAGGTCAGCGCTTGCGTCCCATCATCACTGAGGACTTTGGGGGTTTTGAGGTCTCTGCAGGTGACTTACCTGTTGCAGAGCAAAGCCTTGTGATGTTCAGCTTCTTAATTAAGTTCATTAACAGATTATCATGCAGCTGTTTCCTCTTCTGGTCGGTGGTCAGTCTGCATGTTTGCTTAAGGTCCAATGATCGTTGGGTCTATTCGGATTTATTGTTGCTGAGAATTATTCACCTTCAGTTTGATTTGGTTTCAGGACCGACTCCATTGGTATAAATAAGGAATGAATAGGTGACTCAGTAGAATGAGCTGATGACGTCTTATTGTGGAAGCCAGACAAACACCGAGTTCCCACAGCAAAGAGTCCGACGACCAAACGAAGCAGAAAACACTCAAATCAACACATCAGAGAATTTTTGCATTTTAATGCACAAAAAAACAAAATAGTGAACAGATCATTTTCTCTAATCACATCGTTTCAGGACAGAATATAAAAACCAGAAAACTGAAATGTCGCGTTTTCAGTCTGTCACTGACACGCTGCAGGTCATGTGTCACAGAGCGAGCTCCCACGCAGAGCACACAGGTGTCTGATATCTGCACAGCAGCAGCGCTGCAGTTTGAGAGGCGACACAATGACACAAAGCAGCCAGGAAACAACAAACACACACAGAGGACAGGAAGCAGCAGCCCCACGGTCACACTGTACAGCAGAGGAGGGGGTGAAGTCCATAACAGGAAAGGCCGGGACAATGGGGGGAGGTTTACCCACGGCAGAGACACGGAGCCACTGTACCGTCAGATCCTTCTGTGGTTCTGCCTCTAACAGCCTCGGCTGCAGGTGCCTCAAACATGCTCACAGGGCCACTCACAGCTCGAATGTCCATGAAAAACTCCTGTGGGCTCCTTTAGTTTAGCCCTAAAAGCTTCTAACTCAGAGCTGTCACACTCATGTTAATTCATGGACATTAAATGATGTTTTTAAGTGTAAAGAGAAGCTCATTCATATGTAATGAGTCATCCAGCAGGTGGAGAACAGCCTGCTGAGCAGAAATAAGAAGTTTCAACAACATGTCTCAGTTTTTCCACTTTCAGTCTGCAGTAACTCTGCCTCGGGCTTAAAATTCTCTCTTTCTTAGTAAAAATAAAGTGAAGAGTCCATAAATTATGTCTGCAATTTTTACACTTTGCAAAGTCATCCAGAAGACACATCGAACCTGTATGATGGGCTGTAGCTCCTACTCTGCAACCCTCAGTGGCCAAAGCTCCAACAAAGACACAAGACGGGGTGTCCTCGCTGACCATGAAAATTCCCTGGATCCTCCTCAGCTGCCACCAAAATGCCAACAAAACCCTATAAACTTCCCCAGTGACAAAAAATACTCTTCCTCTGTGGGCACTAAGGCCACCTCAGGCACCAGCACAACTCCTCCACAGTGCCCAGCCTGAAACCTCCCCATCAAGGATTCCTCACATCACCAGAAGATATTTATATAAGCAGAACTGTACCTTCTAAACGGGTGTCGTTAGTCCTGCCGGGACTGAATGAGATTAAATTAAACCTTTTCATCAGCTTAAAATCTGCTGGAAACTTCCCACAAACCTCCTGAGCGGAGACACGGGAGGATGAGTCTCCTCTTAACACACGTGTCCTCTGTGGACCAAACACGTCACCGATGCATCAGGAATAAATCATAAGAACAGTAAAAGTTAAAAACACACACTTAAAAAAATCTTTCCTCCTGAGACAGCAGCAGCGCATCCACACGCAGAATGAAACTTTCACAAACTCACCGAGCAGAAGTCTCTCTGTGTGCGTGGATCTGTCTCCGTCTCACTTTATTCCGCTTCCGCAGAGCCGCCGCAGATCCCGGTGGTGATGCAGCGGGTACCGGACGGGTCACCTGAAGGCTTCACACGTTATAAACACACTGAGCGCGTGCGGGCTGGAGGCTGAGCCACTCCTGCACCCTCAACCCACCCGCCCTGAACGTGCTGCCTTCACGTGCAACTCGGAACGTCCGACGTCCACATTTCACAGTGATTGGAGTCTGTGGTTTTTATCTGCCATCCACACTGACGGGCAGTGCCTGAAGGGGTTTAATTACTGATGCACTGAAAACAACGCAACGACACAAGCCAGTAAAAACACAGAGATAAATTCTCAAAACAACCAAAAACACTTTAATATTCTAAAATAAATACGACGCAATATTAATACAAACAGACGCAAACTGACCGGAAAGAAAAGCAAACGGCTTCAAAACTCTAAACAACAAGAAAAGCAATAAAAGTGCAGAACTACATAATGGCAAATCCGGTTTTTAGAAAAGATACTGTTCGAGCTTTAAAATCAAATTAATAACTTGCAATATGCAGCAAAAAGTATTTCTTTCCCAGAATTCAGTTAATATCTGCCACCATGAATCACACCCCTCTGGCTATCACACTAGATTACACAGGGCCAAGGCCCCCGGTCCACGAGCTCAGTCTGAAGAGGCTTTATGAGACAGGAACAATGAGCCCAAGGAGGCCAGTTAGAGGAAAAAATGCAAAATGAGTCAAAAACATTAAGAAAGACTCAAAAACCCAACAAAAAACGGACAGAGACAAACAAACTCAGGGTTTGGTTGAATTAAAAATGATTTGGCGTCAACAAAGAGGGACAACAGACTTAAAGACTTAAAATGACACAAAAATGAAACTTAAAGCCATAAACACTAGTTTAAACACTTAAATATATTATAAATAAATCTCTGCCAGAGTTAAAATATTTTCCAGCACGCATGTCACATTTTTTCACCCGTCAACCTTGGATCGTGGTTTTTCCCACAGCACTCGGTGTCAGTAAACACACCTGGGCTGACACGCTGCAGCGCCCTCTTGTGGTGTTATTTTATCAGCACAGAAATAAAAACGACATTTTCTCCAGTTTTATGTTTAGATGTCGGATCTTTATACCTCTCGTGCAGCCGGTTTCCCGCCCTGACGCTTCAAATCTAAAACGGATCAATAAAATGCATCAATGTTTAACCGTTTGTAGCCACGTGATTTTACCTTCAGTTCTTGAGCAGGAATCTGACTCTAAAAATATAAAATACCAAAACATTTATAAATAATTTCAATAAAACATGTTTTTGGATCCAAGCTGGTGGTTTTCTAGTTCAGGGACTGCACAGACACCACAGGGTAACGATAAAAACATTTTTATTTGTGTGATAACTTTACTGCAAACATCGGCAGGTGATTTATAGTTTTTAAAACAATAAAAGATATCAAAATGTTATTTTAGCTGTACACATGAGAGTCTGTAGGGATGTACAAATGTTAAATACAGCATGAGACATGTTTTCTGTGTCACTTCAGGAAAAATGTCCAAACACTGGACGGGTTTTACAGAAGCTGTAAGGGGAAAACGTACGAACAGTCCCTACTAATGACATCATTAGAAATTGACAAGCAGGTTCAAACTGCTTCAGACAGGAAGCTGCATTTTATCATCGCTGGCAGTAAACTGCTGCACTTAATCTTCCAGGAATTTGGCCTGGAGTTCATTTTCTGCCCCGAAGAAGATTCGTCTCTTCTTTTACATGTAGACTTAAAAAAAACAACAACTTTAAGGCAACAGCCGTACGACACACGGGTCGCCTGCTCGACCCGCTGAACCTGCACCGAATCACCTTACAGCTCCAGAAAAATCCTCAACCAGATTAAATTCAATGATGTTTATCCATCAAGCAAAACTTTACACTTTACTATTGAAGTCCATCATTCATATTTATATAACAGCGATTCCATCCCTGTAATTATTCGCCTAACAAGACCTGGACCGTTGGATGGATGATTGGACAGGCTGAAGAAAGGAGGCAGGAAGACCCTGAACCTGAACCGAGCTCAGCTAAAAGACTGAAAACACTCAAAACACCAATAAAGAGACTTAAAGTAGAAGCTAAAAATTACAACAAAGACAAAAAAAATGATGACAAATATGGAAAAATCCAAAGAAAAAAATATGAAAATAACGAGAAACTGAATAAACGTGACTAAATATTTCAACAAGGGTATTGATAATGACAAAAAACATAAAAAAAAGATGACCACACACAAAAAAACAGACTGAAATCACAAAGAGACAAAAATATGCAAAAAAACCATCAGAGAAACCAAAACCAATCACAGAGAGACTGAGAGCGAGACACCAAAATGAAACGTCCAGAAAGGTTAAAAATCTTTGGTCATTCGTGTTCTGTGATGTTCTGGGCGGTGCTCCTTCTAACAATGACTTTCAGTATTGATTATTCTGCCAGTTATTTTCTCACTTAATCACTTTTCTTTAAAAACATCACTCAATGAGAATTACCAAGAAAGATCTCGAGTCGAACCTGACGCTGTAAGTGCACTCGTACTAACAGTAACGAGAGTAACAGTGTGGCAACGAGTCTGACTGCATCTGAGACCAAAAGCAGCAACTTCAGGTGTTTAAAGCAGTAAAATGAGGTTCGTGCAGAAAATAAGAGAATAAACCCTGAGCGTGACTGCAGGACGTCTGAAGACTGAACATATAAACAACTAAACTCCAGGTTGTGATCTGACCTGATGATGTACTGAACAAAAGCATTTAGCACTGAATGCCACAAAGAAAGCACCAGCAGCAACAGGAAATAACCAGGTTGGTAAACAGGAAGTAGATGTTAGGGCACACACACACACACACAGTGGGTGGATTATAGCAGATTAGAGAAAGAGGTATAATTCATACTGATTCATGGTTAAAATAACTAACATGCATAACAAAGTTTATCTGCGGATATATGGAAACTTTTCTAGTGAAAATCCATCAACATGTTTAACTGAACCGACACCTGCGACGGCTTTGGGGCCACTTATCTTAAAAGTTTGGCTCCCTGTGATTTGGAGGTGAATCCTGTCAAAAATAAGCTGAGCTTTGATCATAAACAGAGATTCTTAAGTAAACATACAAAACAAAAATGGTTATATGGGTCGTGGGATTAAATATCGATACCGTGCTGCCTACAGGATGGAACATGCAGAGGGATATTTGGAGGTAAACACTTTGTTCTCCAGCCCGTAGACGAAGAAGCTGTAGTCTTTCCCGCTGTAGGTGTAATAGGCATGAGTGAGGGGCACCAGCTCGATGCTCTGACGCTGAGGAGGGAGATCGGACGCTCAGAGTCGACACAGAGCAACAAACCTCAAAGAAGGTGTCTGAGATCGGCCGAGAGGGCCGCGTGCGCGTATCTGTACCTGCTGCAGGATGCGGCTGGTGGCGGTGAAGCGCTCGAGGTGTTCGTTAATCAGTTTTGTTGAAACCTCACAGATCTCCTGATCCGGGAAACCCTGGATAGGATACACCTGGCAGCAGCAGGAAGTCTGTATTATTATAAATGCATTCATATAGTTCATATTCATCCACACGCTGACCAAACATCCAGGTGTGTGGTTGCACTCTCTCCCACAGCAGGACAGAGGAAGCAGCCGGTGTGGATCCAACACACAAATGAAAGAAAGAAAAATAAATGTGTTACCAGCAAACTCTCATCGACGAAGAAAGCGTCTCCCGACACCTTCTCGAACTTCCTGTCAGGAAAGTCGGGCTGGCGGTCGGGAATGAACTCACTGACGTTGTTCTTCCTACACATTTAAAAAATAAACACAAACGGCTGAAGCAGTGATGTCATACGGAGGGCCGTGGGAACATTTTGAGTGATTTTGATACCACGTCACTGTGAGCTGGATGAAATGCAGCAGGTTTTGGCTGCCGAGACAAACGGAGCAGGTCTTGTAGCCGTGGCTGTGGCAGCTCAAACACCTTCAGGAGCGAGAGACCGACAGCAGAGTCAGAGACAGCGTGAAAAACAAAGAGAGCAGAGCTGCAACGGCTGCCTGCAGGCTCCGTGCAGCTCCATCTGTGTGCTCTCCCTGCTCCCCATTCATCATGTCAACTTCATTTAGGGAGGACGATGAAATCACAGGGAGGTCAGACTGTTTGGGTTTGGCCAAAAATCTGTGAACAGGCTTGTTGCATGATCAAGCACCAGGAGGTTCTCCTTCAGACGCCTCGAGATGGTGGACTTTCTTTGGTCCTGTATCCTGCAGGCTCATCCACGGATGCTGCATCGTAGCCACAAACATGACCCTCACCATCCCTTCCCCTCTCTCTCTCAGTTTGTGTCAAAGGCACAGTACACCCTCGGGGAGGCGTGGCCTCCAACGGCCTCCTGACTGCCACACCTCCCATGTATGTTACAGTTATCCCTCCACTGGAGTCCTCAGTTCCTGCTGGACATCTTTCTGTATCAACACTCACTTCCTGCCTGCTCTTCATCATCATCATGTCTCCCCTCAGTCCAGGGAAAGCAGCTCAGACTTTTACAGGTTGACACGAAATCATGCCTCCGATAAGCAGAGACGTGTGTCGCAGCACAAAGTGCTTTTGTTAGCTGTCCCTGATCATCTGCACATTTTAGTGAGAAAGAGGCAGAAAAGCAGCAGACTGGGCTCTCACCTCTTTCGACCTCTGCCATGACAGGAAGTGCAGTGCTTGTTCCTGATACGACCGCGGCCGTGGCAGAACGTGCAGCGCTTCTGCAGAACGAGAAGAACAGATTAAAAAGATTCATATTCACTGCAAACTATGTTTGATCATTTTAAACTATGATGGATGTGTCTGAACATTCAGAGTTTCTGTTTTATCTTAAGCAGAGATGAACAAACAGAAAATAAGTGAGATAAAAATCAACAACCAGCAGATATTTTTCATGTGTCATAATTCGCAGTTAAAGCTGGAAGCGAATCGTGAACGTCCTCCCATTTCTACTTGTTCTGTTAATTTAATAAAATATGAAACGCTTTAAAAGCCGGACCTGGCCTCGGCCGAAGCAGGCGGTGCAGCGAGTTCTCCCGCAGCCTTTGCACTTGTGACACACCTGGAACACAAATTTGTGTTACTGTGATAAAACAGCAGCTCATGAAGCTGAAAAAAGACTAAGAGGCGCAGAGCCGCACCTTCACGAACGACGAGTGCGGCACTCGGATCTTCTCCACCTTGTCGGTGTATCTCTGAGGCAGCGACACCGGGATGTCCCACGGCGCGGGGCTCATACCGTACTGAGGACCGTCCACCGTCTGACCTGTTTCACACCAGGACAACATAACTGATGAAGAGTTATCCCGCCTCGTGTGACCGACCGCTCCTCACCCTCAGCCGATTGATCCTGTGTCACCACATTTCTCCACTTTAGATTTTAATCATCAAGTTTGAGCTTTTCTGATGTGTTTTCCCCCCGAATCAATACTTCTGACAGATACAACAGGAGGTGAAACAACAAGATGAAATGATAACAAACTGAAGTTTTCAGGTTTCTGCTGCTTTCCCACCTCGAGAACTTTTCCCAGGAACTAAGAACCGTTAGAGGAACTCTGTCTGCTTCCAGCACAGGAATCAGGATCGGGAAATTACTCCACCACCTTAAAAAAATCCCTGCATGTAAGAGGAACTGCCTTTAAACAGGAAGAACAGGAACTATAAAGAAACTTGGATTAGGTGAGTAGTCAGCTGCTGCATTACCACCACCTACTGGACTCCAGCAGTTAGTTATACAGCCAGCAGTCGCAGGGTTTCTGCATTTCGCTGGTCTCTTGCCTTTGTATCGTGACAGACGTGGATCTAATCCTGTTGTTCATGCAGGAAACACATCATGTGAGGAATTGTTTTTACCGTTGTAGGGCTCAAACTGCCAGGCGCTGGCTCTGGTCTCAGTGTAGGTCTCCAGTCGATACTGCAGAAAGAAAAGGAGGCAGACTGGAAACACTGGCAGCACTTTGGATTCAAAACCAAGTAAACTGGGTTTTAAAGAGAAACTTAAAAAGCTTTAAAATCATGTTTGCTGTGAGCTGTTAAAGCTGCCGTGGATCCTGGACAAGCTTTGCTTCCTTACATCAAACTCCGTTAAAGTTGAACAGCACTGACTCATTTAACATGGAGCTTTGGTGTTGTTCTTTATTTCCTGTTTCAGAGGCGGACGTTCAATGATCAAAGTTTCTGATAATGAGGCTGGTTTCTGTGCAGGCACTCTCTGTGAGCCAAAAGCTCAGAGCCAGGAGTTTTTTCTACCCCTGGCTCTGTATGATGTCATCCTAATATGGTCATGTTATCTTAGGTGTACAGCTCCAACCACCTGCTGTTTAAACCTTCTGTTTATGGCAGCCAGCCAATCAGGAGGAGTTGTCTTAAACAGGGAGGAGCTAAAGCAGCTTGTTTCACACAGAAGAGGACCTCAGGGTTCATGCAAAGCTGCTCTAAGCTGAGCAAATAATAAAAACATGAACCTGGAACTGAGCAGAATAGCTCCTCTTTAACTTCCTAGGACCTGGCGTCCACATATGTGGACATCACATTTTGGGTTGTTTAGACCAAAATATTCAGTTTTGCTCTACAAGGGCCTGATGTGCACTTACGAGGATGTTGTACTGTCACTGTTCTATTGAAATTTAAAGCGAATGTCCTCATATGTGGATCCCATTTTTCTCAGAAACAAAAATCAGGTAAAAAAAATAAATCACGTAATTCTTTGCTTTTACATTCATCAGGTTCCAATCAGCCCAAAGAACAAAGCGAAATTAAAAGTGCCATGAAAGAGTTCAGGTCTCAGGAGATTAAACAGAAATGCATTAGGACAGCCATCCCCAACCACCGGGCCACAGACCGGTACCGAGCTGTGAGAGATAACGTTAACTCGGTTTCCCTGGGTCTTTCCCCGTGTTGTAGTTGTGTGTCTTATTTTGAAAGAAATGTTTACACGTTACCATAGCAACCAGAGAGCATTAAGGGGCAGAGAGGCAGACGTTACTCTCAGTGTTGTTGGTGCATTTCAGGAGGACGCTGCTAATAAAGTTACACAATTACACAGTGAACTCATGTTTATTGTTATATTTACAAAATGCCACAGTTTTTGTCTCGGTCCTATCATTTTATTTTGTTGTATTTATCCGCAAAACCTTAAAGGCCGGTCCATGTCTGACATTAAATCGGTCCGTGGGGACCACTGCATTAGGATACTCTCCCACTATGACAGCTGAGATAACCTCCAGTCGCCCCCAGCAACCATGGATGCATGCATGGATGGATGGATGGATGGATGGGTGGGTGGGTGGGTGAATGGATGGATGGATGGATGGATGCATGGATGCATGGATGGATGGATGGGTGGGTGGGTGGATGGATGGATGGATGGATGGATGGGTGGGTGGGTGGATGGATGGATGGATGGATGGATGGATGGATGCATGGATGGATGGATGGGTGGGTGGGTGGATGGATGGATGGATGGATGGATGGATGGATGGATGGATGCATGGATGGATGCATGGGTGGGTGGATGTTACACCTGAGGTCTAAAATTGTCAAGTAGCTCTTTTACAGAAAAGTTGAGAGCCATCTTCACCACCATGTCTTAAGTATATTAAATGTTTATTATGTTATTTTATGATCATTTTTATTGCATTACTGGCAGACGCTCTTGTATTATTTACACTTATTAGATTTCTACACTCCTCCACCCTTATACTGATATCTAATTACTGAAACACGTGTGGGAGGGGGCACTTAAACTGCTAATTCCAGGAGGTTAACACACGCCATCAGTCACATCTGAACTCTGTTTTTGCTCTGTTGTTCAATTTAATTGAGTCTCCACATCCCAACACAAATCAAAGCCAGACTTTGTTATTCCCCCTTGTTATCAGATGTACCATTTTCATTTCTCTATGGTCAATGATTCATTCTTAAAGGCATCGTTGTTGTTAAACTGTTTTAATGAGTGAAGTTAAAATCATTAGCAGTTTTCTTGCAGATGTCATGTTGGTGTGAGTTAGTTTTGGGAAACATAAAGCCACAGGTATGAGACCTACCCTGTACACTGTGATGGGCTGCAGATCTTTGAAGGTGAGGTTCCTGGCAGGTTTGGAGCTGTAATTCCATTTGGATTCCACAAATTTGAGCAGAGCATCTCTGGCTACATCCTCTGACACCGAAGGGACCCTGGAGAAAAATATCTTTCATCCCACCGGGCCTTCATTTGTTTGTCGAGCGACTATTTTGGCTGAGATAAAGCAAAGAATCATCTGCAAAGCCTTTAATAAAAAGATGACCTGCAGGAGTTACCTAACGTCGGGCACTGATGTGCTTCTGTTTTGTTCAGGTTGGGGATTGTAGGCAGGGGGCGGTGGGTACAGCGGGTTATCGTCATCTGGACAAACGCATGAACAGAAACACAAAAACAAAGGCAATGAAGGTGGTGTTGGTGTACAGAAACCTCAGAGTAGAACAGAAGGCTCACCTCCTCCTTTGAGGCCCTGATATCCATGAATATCATCCAGCCAGCCAGGAGGTGGCGCTGATGGTCCCTCCTCTGGTATGTTTGGATCGAATGTACCTGAAAAGATGGGAAGAAAAGATTGTTTCTGTGGTAAAGTCACAGTTTGAGTAGAAATCATGGAAAAATCAGGTCTGAAAAGTGTCATAAACCTGCATTTTTTCTTTTTTTTTTTTTTTTTTTTGGCCTGTCCCGTTTGGCTCTTTTGCATCAGAATTGTTGTCTAAAGGCAAAGAAAGATGCCCAACGGATTTACTTTACCAAACTGACCATCCCAGCCTTGCCGTAATGGTCCATTTGATTCACCTTTTATTGTTTATTTTATTTTCACTTGCTGAATACGGGACAGACTTGACTGGGGGAAAGAAGGGGAGAAAGAAAGAGGGAAAGAGAAACAGCTGAGAAGAGGGACGGGGGAGAAGGGCAAAAGACAAAAACCAACAGAACGGGCAGAGAAAAAAAATGCATATATCAATCACCTGGGTCACCTGCTGAGAAAGAAAAAAGAAAACAAGCAGAAGAGAACAAGAGTAATAGAATAAACAACATCACAATGATATATGGGAATATGACAGTAAATACTAAATGTTAAACATTATTGTGCAGCACATAAGATCAACAGAACACAGTGTGCTTTGAGGTAGGAGCCAAAAAGGGTGTAGTTTGTGGGTGTGATCACCCGTGTGTACACCTGTGAGCATGGACGCGCTTGTTTTTTGTTTTTTAAAAGGTTCCTTCATGTAATGATCTGCTAGAGGGTGTGGGGGGGCCACAGCCCCGTCCTCCAGGGCATGAAGCAGGTATGGAGGAGATCAAAACTCCAGACATCCAGAGGCCCCCAGAACACAACAGACCAAGGAAGACCAACAGAGGGGCAGCCGCGCCACTGTCCCAGAAAGAGCTGAGGAGAGTCCCAGATGAGGGCTCACTCAGCAGCCGTGGAGCAGAAGCCAGGGGGGGTTGCAGTGACGCGCCCGTGAGCTCCGCCGGCAGCCAGCCGTGGCTGAGTGACCGAGCCCCAGGCCGAGAGGCCGGGGGCACCCCACCTCCGAAGTGGCCCGAGCGAGCCCCAGGCTCCAGGCCCCGATAAGCGGCCGCCAAGGAGTGAGCCGGCGTGTACCTGGACGCCCATCCCCATCCCCGGACACAAAGAACCACCAACGCACCGATGTCTGAGGGAGTCCGCCACTGGCAGGGGAAGTGGTGGTAGGGGGAGATAGGCCTCCAAACCTTGGAGGGCCTGAGATGTCCCCAGAGAGGTGGCGCCTGACACCCAACCTGACATATAGACACAGACATACAGGCACACACAGACACAAACATCCATTCCCACCCTCATGCTCTCATATGCACTCACTCCACACTCAACCAACGTGGAGACAGACATAAAGAGACGCTGTACACACGATCACACTCCCCAAGCGTACTCTACAAACCGGGTCTAGGTGCCCCCGCCCCTGCATTTTTTCTAATGGCCAGCAGGGGGCGACTCCTCTGTTGCCATTTTGATACCACATGATATGTCGCATGCCCCACAACGTCAGAGCATGCTCTTAATGAGACGATGGATGGTGTCCTTGCACACCACAAGTGCCAGAAGAGTTCTGTTTCTACTGTGTTCTACTGTTCTCTAGCATGGGACTGATGGTATCAAGTGTTTATTCACCAGGAGCTGCCTGCAGCATTGTTGGTCACAAGCAGGAAGCCAGGACCCAGTGCAGCAGCGTGGCCTCGTACAGTGGCCTGTACGAGGCCTGGCCTGTAGACGTCCCTCCATGGATATGCTAACCACCAAACCGCTCGTGCTGAGCGATGTTACAGGCAGCATAACATTCTCCACGGCTTCTCTAAAGCATTTCACGTCTGTCACCTGTGCTCTGGGTGAAGCTGCTCTCATCTCTGAGAAGCACAGTGGCAGACCTGCTAATTCTGGTATTCTATGGCAAAGGCCATTGGGCTCCACAGTGGTGGGCAGCGAGCACAGGGCCTGCTAGAGGACATGAGGCCCTCATGAAGGCTGTTACTGATTCACCCCAGCAGCCTGCTGCAGGTCGTTTTATAGCTCTTGCAGTGTTCATCCTGCTGATGGGTTGAAGGCCTTCTACAACCCCGCCCAGCTCTCCCAGAGTTACTGCCTGTCTCCTGAAAGTCCCGTGGTGGTGATGTTTGAGTTGGGAGGTTTTATGCCAGACATAAATTCTGGTGCCAGTTTACTTCTCTGCTTTGGTGTCTTCAGGTTCTTGATAATTGTGCTCTAACCTGATTAGTCTCACCTGTGTTGTTCTAGTCACACCTGTTTCCAAGCAGTCAGTGAGTTCCTCAAGTGTACGTAGATCGTCAGGGATTGTTTCGGTACACTTCTATTTAAGCCTTTAGAGTTTGCTTCACTGACTGATCACCTGTTAATGATCTAAGCCTGTTTTTGGATTAAAGCTCTGGACTGTGGAGCGCTCGAGTAAAAATAAGCAACATGCTGCGAGGGAGTGGCCAGTGTTTCTGTCCGCGTGGCAGGAAAGGAGGATGCATTCTTTAGCAGAGGCTGTCAGGAAACTGGTCCAGCCTCAGGAAACAGCTCACACGAGCATTATTAAATATCACTATAAATATTTACACACCAACTCATTATTCCACTGCCAGTACATCAGATGGATGCACTTCTACGGTTTTACAGCATGAGTGTGCACACTGGTGCACTTCTGTCTTTGCAGTCACATTCCTGTTAGAGGCCAGTCTATCACAAACAATTAAAACATTAGAGCGATGCAGTGTTGGGGGAGATTGGCTTCAGGTACCAGTGAGACAGGAAATACTATTCAGAAAGTTCTCTTTGTGAAAGTTCAGGATAAAGAAAGGCTTAAAAATCCTTCACAGAAGTTTATAGGATGGGGTTTCATAATTGTGGGAGCTTAGACCAGCTCCCAACAAATGTGATGGTAAAATCCTCCACAGAACTCCAGCAGACATCTCAATGATACAGGCTGGACTGACCGGCTCCACCAAATCAGATTAAAGATCAATCAGTGTCTGAACTGTTTCAAAGACACGAGGATGGAGGCGCACACCTCCTGAGCTGTCTGTTTAAAGCAGTGTCACTTACATCATTTATTACAGTCTGCTGCTGCTTTTAAAATAGATTTTAATTGAAATAGAAAATAAATGTCATAATTCAGATTTTTGTATTGCTCACACCCACAAATGATCCCAGAAAGTTTATTCTGTTCATCTGTTCGTAGAGCCATCGGTGGGAGAACGTGACGAAACGGTCCTGCTAATACATTAAAACTCAAATTTCAGCTGACAGGAAGGAGGACAAAGGCAACGAGGAAGCACAACGTGGAAAACTAATTATTGGGAATATTCCTTCCTTCCCCAAAACATATTGTGAAGTTAGAATAGTCAATAACACAGCAACTCCTCGTGGTCCTTTTCCCTGAGGAAACGTACAGAACTTACAAGCTGAGCTCTGTATTATGAAGTGCTACCAAAAACAGAAGAAAATGTAGAAACAGCTACAAAATCTGTGACTCTGCAGTGATGCTGCAGCTTCACAGAGCAGGTCAGTGAGCCTGCAAAGGCTTTGTGTTGGAGGGCTTCAGTTTAAATCCAGTGAATCTGGAAACGTTTAACAGACTGGGATAATGGGGAAACTGGACACAGGTGTGAAATTGAATAATTGAATAATCAGGCCCCATCTTATCTTAATGACCTTGTAGTACCATATCACCCTATTAGAGCACTTCGCTCTCGCTCTGCAGGCCTACTTGTTGTTCCTAGAGTATTTAAAAGTAGAATGGGAGGCAGAGCCTTCAGTTTTCAGGCCCCTCTTCTGTGGAACCAGCTTCCAGTTTGGATTCGGGAGACAGACACTATCTCTACTTTCAAGATTAGGCTTCAAACTTTCCTTTTTGCTAAAGCATATAGTTAGGGCTGGACCAGGTGATCCTGAATCCTCCCTTACCCATATGGAAAAGATATATTTATAAATCTTATAAAGTTTGTATCTGTCTTGTGTGAAACTTGTATGAAAAGCATACAAGAGTGAAAACAGATATAAGATCCCTTGAAAAATTATATAATGAAACTTGTATGTTTTGGATACTTACTAAAACAATGTATGAAAGTAATGAGAAAGTGGCCACTTTCATGAGTAAATCATGTAAGTTTTTACTATTTCTTTTCCATATGGGTAGTTATGCTGCAATAGACGTAGGCTGGATTCCCATGATGCACTGGGTGTTTCTTCTTCACTCCTTTTTTCACTCTGTATGTAATCATTAGTTATTATTACTCTCTGGCTCTCTTCCTGTCTGAACCTTGTGTTCAGACTGCTGCCTGCATCTGTCTCATGTGTAGTCGTGGTTTTTCTCACTATACAAATCGAATTGTACCAAAAACATCTGAATAACAGAGTTTAGCTGCTTCGGCCCATGAAACGACTGAAACGACTGAGACGCAGCTGTGCCATTTCAACACACAGCTGTGCACATCAGCATTATCTAACAGAAACAAAGGGGCTGATGGGAATAAGTCTCCCTCCTACAGTTTAAGCAAGTTAGGACAAACTAGCAGCTTCACTATGAACACCATCTGAACACAGCCTGGTTTGCTAATCTTTTCCTGGCTTTGAACGGATCACTTTAATTTCTGTCAACACACCGACTCGGGACATCTAGTGATTCCCTTCAGTGTTTGTCTTCACTCTACACAGTTCCTCAGTATCAGTAACCTAAACAGTGCATAAAGCCTCAGGTAGAATCAACTCTGATTCAAAAACAGGTCTCTCTGAATAAACCGTCTCATTTGAACTCAGCACAGAAAACTCTGATTTATTCTCATCAGAAATACATTTGTGCCCTTATTACTGACCTGACAGCTGTGACTATTAAACAGATTCATGCACATTAGGATATGTGAACTGCACGCTCAGCTAAATGACGCCGCAAAATTAAGGCTCTCGGGCTAAATTTGGCCCACTTTATATTCTTAATTATGGCCACAGCTGTTGACTGTACAGTCACACATGCTGTGTGCAAGATATGGAGCCACAGACGAGCACAGAGATGTGGAAGCGTCACAGCAGCACATCTCAGCTCAAAGTGATGGTTTCACTCTTACAGGTGAACCACACGATCACAGAGCTCTTCCTATTCCTGTCTAAATGTTTTAAAGTCTATCAAACCTTTTAGTCGACTGATTAAGGACTCATGTTGTACATGACACAACTTCATGACACATGCAAAGTTCATTAAATAATGCAGATCAGTAAACTATGAATGTGAATTCTCAGTTTTCTATTGATGGGGGCAGGGATAGCTCAGCAGGTAGAGCGGTCACCCCATGATCAGGAGGTCGGGGGTTTGAATCCCTACACACTGCTCCCCGCTGCGCCTTAGTGGCTGCCCACTGCTTCACTGAGTGAATGGGTCATATGCAGAGAGAGTAATTTTCCCACGGGGAAAATTAATTCAAAAATTCAAAAATTCAAAAATCTCATCAATTAAAGTTGATCTACAGAGAATTACATTTTTATAGGACAACAATAAATCAGCAGAGACATAAACACAGACAAATCTATAAACACGGAGCCAATTAAACATCTGTTTTTCAGATTTACTGTTCACAGCTAAAGTTAGTTTTTATGTCCACGCTGGTATTTGGTAGTATAATAACCAATAATAACCCCCATGAGAAGCACAAATAGCATATTTTTACACAATAGATGCGATTAAACCACTTCCACGGCACCGTGCAGCCATTTAACATGTGCGTCACGATGTCGCCCGACACAAACACTTTGTCAGCAACCCAACAGCTCTGAGTGTTTTTCACGAGCCGGGTTTTCTTCCAGATAAAAATACAGAGGCAGCGAGCTCGTGGCGAGCGGTACACAATACCTCTGGCTGAGGGATAAAAATATCAGCGAGAAGGTGTTTCCCGCCACGAAAAGATCTGGGCTGAGATGGTCTCAGTGTGTGAGAACGCTCTCAGGGAGGGAGGATGGAGGGAGGGTGATGGAGGCAGGAGAGAGAAAAATAAAAATAGAGTCAGAGAGGGGGAGAAGGAATGTGAAAACAAAGCCAACTTATTACTGAGGCTTTAGCTGGACAATGCATCCAAAGCCCCTTCGTCTCCTTTTCTTTCTCTGAAGCGCAGTTTCTAAAAGTCTGCTTTAACTCCAGATCATTTAATTTAATAGACAAATTTACTGTTGACTGGAGCTGCGATGGTTCCTCAGTTAGACCCTTAAAACAGAATTCATTAGCAGCATTTTAATAAATCATTCATTAAGCTCCTCTGATTTTCCCTACTGTCTGTCGTATACGGTTTAAACTGTTACAATGTTGCAGGCCTAAATAATGAGCTCTGGTAATGAACTCTTCAGAGGCGATAAATGCTTTACGCTCCACTTCCAAACGCTCCCAGTGTGACATCGTCCGTCAAAGACACACAGCTGGTCTCAGGGCGACGTTTAACAAACAGTCAATCTGTCTTTGGTGCAGAAACACACACAGAACCAAAAGTAAAGTTACTACATGCTTTATTTGGTGTTTTAATGATCATTTAAATGATCTGAAGCTCGTGTTTATCTTCAGCTATGTGAATACCACACTGCGCGTGCTCACCAGTTCGGCTTGGTTCATTAAAATTTGTTTAGGTTCGTAAATCTGATAAAGTGAAACTGGTTTTGGCAGACAGATGAACTCACTCAGAGTGAGATAAACACCGAGACGTAATCACTGCGCGTCTCGTGACACGGCGCCGCTCAGCGTGGCCTCCTCACACCATCCGACACCTCCCACACACAGATTGAAAGGCTCCATTATTACAGCTCGTTTAATGATGCCTGACCAAGGCTGTGACCAAAACCTTTTGCCTGGTCATATTTTACATGTTGTGACATTGAAGTAGCAGAATGTTAGCCAAACTAGAGACGCAAAACAAGCTTCAAAAACTTGGACGTTTTCTCCAGTTAAATGCCAAAAGCATTCAGTTACTATACTGGCTGTGCAACCTATGCCTTGTTGCCAGACTCCTGGGTAGGTAGGACGTCTTGATAACTGCAGGTCAATAAGCAGCAATAGAGACCATCTGCAACCATCTAACAAGAAAAAACACGTACTCCCCATCCGACTGAAAGTGGTTGCTGGAGGTTGACGTCGGTCACTGTGAAGTACACTGATAAAAAATCACTCGCATCCACTAAGAGACCAGTCAGTGCAAGGGAGGGTTCACCTTCAAAATAAAAGTTTGCCTTTCAAAGCATGTTGGCTACAGCAGCGGTCCCCAACCCCCGGGCCTCGGACCGGTACAGGTCCGTGAGGCGTTTGGTACCGGGCCGCGAGAGTTGAGGCTCAGGTGTGAAATGTCTGGTTTTCAGGGTTTTTATCAGTTTTCAGCGTTATTTTGTTATCGTTTTTATCGTTAACTCGGTTTTCCTGGGTCTTTTCACGTGTGTTATGAATAAATCTTATTTTTTTCGGTACCGGTACTAGTTTTATTTTGTTGTATTTATCCGCGACACCTTAAAGGCCGGTCCGTGGAAATATTATCGGGCATAAACCGGTCCGTGGCGCAAAAAAGGTTGGAGACCACTGGGCTACAGCACAGATGAAAAACCTTTATTTTGAAGGCTCACGTCAGGCTTTTACTATGGCTTGACTAGTAGTTATAACAAGGAGACCAGTTGGGGTCTACACCTCATCACGCCCACCCCTGCTATACATCAAGCTGCAGTCAACAGAAGGTTTCCCCTCATGCTGACCCTACCTTTCTGCTCAGCAACATCAGGTGTGGTGAACAGGTGTGTGCAACCATATTTATCATCTAAAACACACCCATGAGTCACGCCTCAAAACCATGCACCAATACAGAGTGTGCATCTAAACCAGGGGTCCCCGATCCCAGTCCACGAGGGCTGGTGCCCCTGCAGGTTTTAGATCTCACCCTGGGTCAGCACACCTGAATCACATGAGTGATTAGTTCATTACCAGGCCTCTGGAGAACTTCAAGACATGTTAAGAAGGTAATTTATCCATTGAAATCAGCTGTGGTGGAACAAGGACACATCTAAAACCTGCAGTAACATTTTATAGCTGCGACACACAGCAACATCAACATCTAATCCAAAACCTAATCTAAAGGTCCATGTGGTAATCTGACACAACAACCTGAAGTAATTAAAAATTTAAATATGACCATATTTATTTTTATTTATTTAATTCTTTAATTTGCCTGACTCCATCTGTCAGCCTGTCCATCATCACTGCGAACAAGAAGGGGCTCAGATCCTGATGTAATCCCAGACACCAAAACATCACAGGTTCACAGTGATGAGCGTTCTGAAACAGAAGTGGTACTCCCACTCCTTTATGCATTCCAAGGAAGAGGGAGGAAGTTACAAATTGATCATACCACGCTGTTTTGTGCCCTTGGCGTTATCAGCACCTGTAAAGGGAGTTGTCTTCTCCAACTGGAGGCTGAAGTTCATCTAGTTTTAGAACCGTCCACAGAACAGTCTATTACCGTGTCACAACATATTCTAATCTAAAGCACTTAAATACTTTAAATTAGAATAACAGAAACTTTCTGTTTCTGCCCTCTCTCCTACATCTCCATACCTCTGCAGGTATGTTGTAAGCACCAACCACCCTTCCACTCTTCTTTTTCTTCATAGCTGCCCTCACTTCCTCCTTATTAATTCAGAGTTTTACTAACACTTCCAAATTTACTATCTTCCCTCCTGATTTTCTTCAACATGCTCAGTCTGTTATCACCCTCACCTGCTGCACATCCTTTCAAGCTCAATCATCTATCGAGCCAATAGATACGAGTCATTTATGGGAGGTTATGGGCTGTCCTTGGGCAGCATTGGACTGTCCGCATCCGTCATTGATGGAGGTGGTGTCAGAAATATGTGCTGCTTGAGCTGCTGATGGACCATCAGTCAGCTGGAGTGAAGCTGGTTGTTCAAATGAAAGCCGCTGTCAGCCATCCTGCTGTGTGTTCTTTTTATCTGAGATCTTTCTTCTCCCGTTGCTGGTTAACTCCACTGTCTCTCACTTCCCTGTTCTGCCCACTTATCAGCCAATCAGCACACAGTGTCATCCATGTCGAGCACCATGTGGTTGGGATTTTGGAGTACAGTAGGGGCGCACCTCTCTACAGACGGACACCAACGCTGCAGCAGAAAGGAAGCCTCTGGCTTTTCCACCTCTCTCCTCCCCAACACTCCCAGTGCTCCTGTTTACTTTTTTCCTGTCCCAGTAAAACTTTTACACGAATCAGACACGATGCATTGTTTTGTTTTGTAATTTGTTTCCTACTTTTATCGCGATAATACTGTAAGATTTGGATTATCGTGAGTTGTCCAAGTACATCTTCAAACCCTGATAATGAGCAGACTGGTGTAGTGTGCAGAGGTCCGGGTAATCATGAGCGTTTTGAGCTCTCAGCCTGCAGACGCTCCTGACAACTTTAAAGACCACAAAGAGCTGAAGAGGAGCAGAGCGCTGGAACAAAAGCAGCTCTCTGCTCCCTTTGAACATGCTCACCCACATCTTCTTCTTTCTCGTCCATTCCTCCGCTGCTCACGGTCGTTAAACGTGAATGAAGCGCCTAACAACAAGTCGCGCGCGGTCACGGTAACAATATACCACAACTTCCGGTTACAGTTTTCAAAGAGAAAAGCTTCTGTGTGGGATACAGTGTGTCACGTTTCCTGTGAGGTGTGCGCTCAGTGTGTGAACTACAGCCGGATTTATTAGAGGTGTTTCTTTTCATAATTTCAGTGTTTTTTATTCTGTTTTGACTTTTCTTTAAAGTCGGTTTAGTTTCAGTTAAATTTCATTGTTTCAGTTTAGTTTTTATTGTCTGAACTGTTTAGTTTTAGTTCCGTTTTATTGGCTCCAGTGTCACTTTTAAACTTTGTGGGTTTTATTGTATGGAGAGCATACGTCACAAAATCGTTTTTGGTTATAAAAATGTTTTCCACATCTATCTTTATTTATCTAGTTAGTTTTTTAATAATAGTGATCTGCTGTTTTATATAAAGGCATGAATAACAACACCAGTCAAATCTGTTGAAAATGCTTAAAGTGTTTGATGACTTTGCTCCAAAGGTCTCAAAAAGCCTTTTTAAAGTTCCTTTTCTCATTTTCTACTAAAACTCTCGTCCATCGCGTTCCTGTTGGTTTTACTTCTGTGAGCTTCCGGTCCAGTCTTGGCTGCTCAGGTCTCACTTTACGCTGTCATTTTGTAAACAGGGTGGCCGCGCCCACCAATGATATGCAAACCATTCAGAAATAAATAAATAAAATAGAATAAAAGAGTTTTCCAGAGTTTTCCAACTAGATTATACTTTTTTTGTTGAACTGCACGACATTTTACAGGGATATGAATATGTAGTTTTTACCACATTAAAAACTAAAGTGCAAGTTTTACTTTATTAATTAATACATTTTGAGCCCATGTTTATAAAGCGCTCTAAAATACTGTATATGCAGTATATATGATATAATATTTAATGTGTTTATTATCTTATTATTATTATCAGCTTATTATCATCTGCTGTTTAAACTTTACTAAATCTGACGCTCTGAGATTAAATTAATGAAAATAAGTGAGAAAAATATGAGTACAGTACAATTCTATAACCTATGTTTCTCCTTTTTTGTTTTTTGTTTTTTTAGCACTGAACTACAGTACGGTAACAATTATTTAATTAATTAGAAATAAATCAGTAACATGTCTCTCACACGGGACATTTCTGCACTGCGAATGCGTTTAGTTTCGTTAGTTTATTATCACAGTTATTCTGTTGTTTTATTGTATTATGATTTTGAATTAGAGGCTTTATCTTGTCTGTATTTCTTAACCAGAGTCACCAGAACCGCGTGACTTTACGGTTTTATCTAACCTGGGATGCCCCGGTACTTTGAAATCACATGCTATGTTTTTAACCGAAGTGACTAAACGGTGTGATTTTTTTATGGTATCGATGCAGACCGTCCCACTTTTTTAATGTCATTTTTATATGACAAAGAAAAACAAGGGCTTAAAAATGGAATTTATCGAGGCGAAATGGAATAAAAGAGCCCGTGAAAAATATAGTTGAGAAATCCGACTCTTCGGTTTGGACAGTAAACGTAGCAGTTGCCCCGGAGGTTCTTCTTCTTCGCTTGCCGTCAACAAAACCGGAGTGCTGCCTGCTAGTTTGCAGAGCTTTGAGAGGGTTTTTTGGCACGAATTTCTCCACAAAAAAACGAAAATGGTAGGATAAGAGGACAGTTTGACAAGTATCTGGTGAAACTGTTCACATATTTGGCCATCATACTGTAATTTATCAGTTTTACAGGACGGAATTTAATAAATTGCTAACTGAAGCTAGCTTGCTTTTGCTAGTCGGGCGTTGTCGGTTTATTTTTAACCGTTTCTCCCTTTGTGTTACCTTTAAACGCGCTCGCTGGGAGATTATTTTAATTCTGTGTTTGTTGCGGTGTTAAACGATTTAAATCCGTTTATCAGCTCACATGAAATGACTGATCACTGTTGTCTCCGTCCCTCAGGCTGAAGTAGAAGAAACCCTGAAGAGGATTCAGGGCCAGAAAGGGGTTCAGGGAATCATCGTCGCCAATTCAGAGGGTGAGACGACAATGATGTCATTTCATCCCCTCTTTTAAAGACCTTTCCGCTCTTTGCGTGTTTCTTATTGTGACTGCCACCGTGTGTTTAGCAACTATAAGTCCTCCGGGGTCTGATCCAGAACTCAGGTTTAATAAACTCCGGGTTTGTTAAAACTGAGGCAAACTTTAGGTCTCTATCGGGAAAAATAAAACCTAACTTAAATTTATAGTCGGTTACCATGATAAGACACTGTGACCCTTCCCTAATCGGTTACCATGGTAACAGACCGTGTGACCCTGTCCTAACCTGCTCCCTGCACGTGTTATCTCTGGCTCCTCCCCTCCCGTTACACCTGAAACAGCCGACTGACCCTGGATCGATCCAAATATTGATATATCGGTACCAGTGTCAGTATCAGATTGTGATACTTAGTTTCAGAGTGCTTCCTCAGAAAGTAGACATCCCTTTACAAACAGGGTCCTCCTGCTCCTCCTCTTCCTCCTCCTCTCTGTCTCATTGTGTTTTGTTGTTGTGCCGTCACATGACCCGTTTGTGCTGAGCAAACACATGTAGGCTGTAGAGATAAAAAGGAGCAATCTCACTGCCGTGTGTGGGAAGCCGATTCATGATCAGTTTATACAAACCCAAGAAAACAGAAGTGAACAGTGAAAGAAACAAAGTGAGGAGGAGGAAACTCCCTCACAGACCGAGACCCCCAGCATGGAGACAGAGGCCACTGGCAGAGACCTTTCTGGGACTGATTTTATCACACTGATGAGTAAAAGACTCAATTCAAACATTTAAATAATGTTCTCAGCACCTTGAAACATGGTGCACTGCTCTGTCCTGAATAAACTGCCTTCATATGTTAAAAGCAGCACAACCTAAAGTATGTTGATAATAACATCACAACGTCTGCAGACACTACAGTAATCATCACATAGAGTGCAAAATAAACCCGAGAAGCATCCTTAGTGCTGCAGCAGCATTCACTCATCTTCACGAATACTAAAAATAAACCTTCCACATATTGATTATTGTTTCACTACCTGATCAATAACAAGTTAAACAACATTTAGTTTATAAGGAAAACATAATTGTCATTTGTGGAAAACAATCCTTTGAGCTGTGACAATCCCATAAAAACCAGGAATGCTTGTTTCATACATGAACTTTCACATGCACGTTTTTCACTCTGTGAAATGACGTTATTATTGATGATGTGTTTGTTTTTGTCTGCTGGTTTTTATTCACCCCTGTTCCTTTAATTTACCACACTTACATTTTCCTTGGTACATAATAAAGCTGGAATCCCATCAAATTATGAATTTAAATACTTTACCTGTAACTTGACAGGACAAAATGTTACCGAAGACAAAAGTATTTTCCTTCTTCGTCCCATTTTTAATAAATTTTTTTTTTTTTTTTGAGTAATTGAGATCTATTTTACTGTCACGCTTCAGTTTCAGCAGCAGAGAACCAGTAAAGTAAGGTGTGATGTGGTTACTGGGTCCACGTGTGAATGTCCATCTCATAAATGTTTTCCCTTCAGGAATCCCCATCAAGTCGACTCTGGACAACTCGAGCACGGTGCAGTACGCCGGGCTGATCCACCAGCTGGTGATGAAGGCCAGGAGCACCATCCGAGACATCGACCCCCAGAACGACCTCACCTTCATGCGCGTGCGCTCCAAGAAGAACGAGATCATGATCGCTCCAGGTGAGAGCATCTGCTGGGAATTACTGCTAAATGAATTCCATTCACCAAAAATGAAACGCTGTTATTCCAGTTAACCTGACTTATAAATGCTTCAAAAGGCTCAAACACGCTCCCATTAGCTGAGCTGAAGCCTAGCAGACAGCCACCATCTACCTGTCTGTCAAAGAGGCCACAGCCCTAATTTTGAGTCTTACTGGTGTCCAAATGGAAGTGTTATAAGAAAAATTCAGCCCCCGTTCAGCTGTTATAATCCACAGTTATCCATAGAAGTGGTTTTCGTATCGGGATGACTCAATGCTGGAGCCTCTGGTGGACGTGAGCTGCAGTTTGTGGCTCTTCAGTGTCGGTTTCATCTTTCAGCCCTGCAGTCGCTGCTTTTGGGAAACAAGTTTCCTCCTCTGGGGGAAAGTCGGGCATTCAAATGATGCCTTTTATCTGTTTACATAACTTTCCATAAGAATTGTGTTTTGCCACCTGCCATGTGAACCAGAAATGGGCAGGATTTTTTTCTAAACTTCTCAAGTCCAGAGAGGTCGGCATCTGGCCGTGAAGATTATTTTACAGCTGCAGCAGCAGTTTAGTAAAACTCGAGATCAGCTGTTTTTATTAAAACTCTACATTTTAAAATATTAAAATGCCCATTATTCAGATTATTTCCTGGCTAAAAAGGCTGGATGTGAACATTTAAGATGCTTTTGTTCCTGAAGTCGTTTAATTTTTTTGCCTTTTTCTTAACAGATAAAGACTTTTTCCTCATCGTCATCCAGAATCCATCAGATTGAAGATGAAGGAGCTGACGTCTGGCTGTTCGCTCGCTTTATCACTCTCATCTAAACGGCCCAGTTTTTCTTTTTTTTTTTTCATTAAATCAAAATTTGTGTTTAGCAGAAGCTTTTTCATGGGAAGTAAGGTTGTAAGGTCAGGATGTGTGATCCCGAGGACGGTCAGTCGGCCTGCAGAGGATTTTTGGGTTGTGTGTTTTTTCCATGTTTTAGCATTCCAGCTCCTCGGTGTGTGTGTGTGTGTGTGTGTGTGTGTGTGTGTGTGTGTGTGTGTGTGTGTGTGTGTGTGTTTACGTGCACGCGCACGCGCACGCGCGTCTCATGTCACCGTTTATTTCATGTGTAGCAAGCAGCCAGACGTGCACGCCAATACACGAGTAACCAGTGAAGTCGCAGACACATGACTGGAGCAAAGCACGCTGGTCTGCAGGTCCAGTATACGAGGCAGAACGAAGGACGTGCTTTGTTTTATTTAGCTCACCTTAAAGGAAAACTGCAGATTGTTATTTATTG